CCTTGATCGCTTTTTGGTGGTTGTAAAAGCTGGTTTCCATGCAGTTGGTAGTATCTGTGTCTCGTCTCTTGTGTTAAGGTTTCTTGAATGTTTTTCTATTTCAATGGCTTCACGGAAACTTGTTTTTTCAAAGTCAATTTCGTAAAAAAACGCAAACCACTTCATCGAGGACATAAATCAGCTCCGATGTCTCTTTACGAATATTCCAGTCAGCGAAGCCTTGGAGACAATTCAAAGAAAACACGTATTTCATATACAACTACCAGAGATACAAACAAAGGATACTCCTATGGGCTCCCCAATATCGCCAGCAATAGCCAACTTATTCATGGAAGACAAGTACAAGCAATCGAAAAGGCAACACTAAAACCAAAGTTATGGCTACGGTACGTAGATGACACATTTATCATCTGGACCCACGGAGAAGCGGAACTGAATAAATTCCTGGACCATCTCAACGGAATTCACAAAAAGATCAAGTTCACAATAAAAACCGAGAAAGAACACCAATTACCTTTTCTGGATGTCCTCATAATCAAGAAAAATAATGGCTCACCACCACCCGTCACAGCTGCAGTCAGTCATTAAGACACTTGTCACGCTATCCGAAAGGCTGGCGGATGATGACCACAAGAAACAAGAAGACCTGAAAATCCAAACGACGCTACAGTAAAACGAATTCTCCAAAACCATCATCAAAAAGGCTCTTAGACCACGACGCCGGTTAAATACCAAAGAGGACGAGAACAACAAACCAACTTGGAAGGCCTTTCTTCCCCACGTCAAAGGGACAACCGAGAGAATAGGCAAAGTTCTAAAAAAACATAACTTTGGACCACATTTAACGCCAAAAGAAAGATCGGTCAAATACTTCCAAACGCCAAACCAAAAATGAAGTTGGAGGCACAAGGGGTGTACGAAATTCCTTGTAAGAATTGTGACGGAAGCTACGTGGGACAGACCAATAGACGTATCAACGTTAGACGTGAGGGACAACGTATCGCAGTCTTGAAGCTTACTGTTGCGCATTAATTTATAAAAAATACATTTAAGTGTATATCTCCACAACGGCTACATACGCAATTTTAATTTTTATTGCATAGTAAATAATATCACTATTTAAAAAAAAAATTGGAAGATTATATATTTTAAATTGAAAACGCCAAATGTACCAACGTGAGAATAGTGATGAGTACCTACACATTTTTAACATATTTTTACATCAAATTCCATACGTGTGGACAATTAATTAAATAGCTTTTGGAGATAGATGATATTTGTAGGGAATTAGATTATATAAAAGTTAATTTGGTTAAATTAAATTAGGATAGGCGTAAGAAAAATTTATTAAATGCTAAAGTTTGTCAAACTAGGGAACTATATAATATAGCGGGCATAATTGAGGAGCGATCAGACAAAACCAGACAAATTCATTTTGGTGATTTGCAGAAAGAAATCAAAAATAAAATAATTCTTTTGCTTTTGACTTATTTCTGCAAATCACTTAAATGGATTTGTCTGGTTTTGTCTGATCGCTCCTCAATTATTGGTCAGAGTCAAAGTCAAAAAATTACTTCGGACATTAATTGATAAAATTTCAAGTACGTATCAAAATATTGTAGAGTTTGCTAAAAGAAAATCTAGTACTAACGTTACCATGTCGGCTGAAATTAGCTGTCAGTCTTTTGCCCATGATGGGTGATACTGAGGAAAAGACTTATCAGCTAATTGATGCTATTGACTTGTATAGTAGCATGATATCAGGGGAAAGAAATCCATTAATTAATTTTGTGTTAAAAACGAGGTTTTCAACAGGTGCGAAAATAAGACTTGAAAGCACGTACGATACGGTGGATGTGCTTCTAAAAGATATGAGAAAACATTTAATAGCTCGGAAATCGGACACCGCTTTGCAGGCTGAACTATCGCGAGCAAAACAAGGTAATAAATCGGTGGTTAAATTCGGCAAAGAATTAGAAGAATTATTTGTAGATCTTACTGTATCTCAGACAGCTGTCTAAAAGGTGATAAATGAACGAAACGCGATTAAAGTGTTTTCAGATGGGCTACGCAATAGCAAATTGAGTACCATCGTTGCGGCTCGAAATTTTTCTTCATTAAAAGGTGCAATAAGAGCTGCAGAGAAGGAGGAATTGCCTCGAACTAATGATCAAATAATGTCAATAAATAGGCGTGGCCATGGTACTCACTTTGCACGTCGGCGTGGTTCATTTAATAGACTAACTCGTAACCAAATTAATAGAGGACACTACCAAAATAGTGGGCCTAGATATTTTAATAACAATCGAGGACAGAATCGGGGTAGATTTAATAGAGATAGAGAGATAGGTCAAGTCACATCAATTTCGGAGAGGCAGACACAGACAACAACGATATTAATTATTTTTTTCGAGAATAAAAACAATATATAAACATAAATCAAATAGATAGTTTATTGAACTAAGAAATTTGCCTAGTTGGTTAAGCATAAATTATTAAACTGCAAATATTGAATATTTGACAGTTCCTCCGACCATTCTAATAACTTATTAGTCAGTAGTTAGAATATATATAGGAGTTAATAAGATGTAACCGGGGTACAAATAAATAAGCATAAAATATAGTTATAGAAGAAACAATCTCTTCCAAGATCCAACATTTCAACTATCTAAGTACAAAAATTGATACAATAATAAAAATAATAAGTTTTGTCAGCAAACATAATTGGTTGATTTCTTATGAATTGACCTCTTCTCTGCTGTATTTTGTTTTGCAAAGGTTAGTTATTTTTATGGTATAGGATGTATAGTAGGGTGATGCAAAAAAGATTTTTTTTTGAATTTTATGCGAGACCACTCGGGTTTTCAAAGAGTATCAAGAAAATAAAAATCTGTAAAAATTTTAGAGAAATCAATTAAAATTTAGAGGTCGCTCAACGCAATTGTTTAATTTAGAAAAATCACGCATCTCAAATGCATTGCTATAAACAAGTAGGCATATTTCATACAAATTTGAATGAAAATGGTTGAATATTTTTTTGGTGGACTCTTAATAATTATTCTAATAAATAATGATGTCCCGATTTCAAAAAATTTTTCATAATATTTAAAAAATATATATTAATTAGCAAATATAGCTTAGTTAACAAATAATTCATTAAATTTTTTTTTTGTTTCAAAATCTGTAATAACATTGTTAATAGGTCTACAAGCAATTATTCATTCACAAAAACACTCGCCCCCATCGTTAAATATGAGAAAAAAAATAATATTTTAATTAACTACACTTCGCGTCAAATTTAACGCACCACTAAAAGTTTGTCACATTTTCAAAGTTGATTTTCTCGCGAACCGTCAAACCGAATTTGGTAATTTTTGTTTTAAAATTGAGGTTTATTCTTTGGTTATGATGCCTTTATTAAAAAATTCTTTTAAATTAACATTTTAAGTATATAGGGTGCAAGTGTAATTATTAGTTTTTTTTCGGAAATTTGAAACGCCCTGTTGGTTGTACCAGCTATAACAGCATATGTCTCATAATCAAACTATAGCCCCATGTTCTCTTAACATTTTGTATTTTTATTCACCGGGTTATCTTTATTTTTAAACGAAATATACATTTAAAGATTAAAGATTAAGGTACCATGAATAGTGTACGATATATCGAGGACATTTTATTTGAGCATGTTGTCCCTTTCGCCCGGTAATAATTTTTTACTGATGCAGGATAATGCTATATAGTGCAAGAGTACTTACATGAGGTGGGTGTTAAAACTTTAGACTGGCCTGCAAATAGTCCGGATCTCAACCCCATCGAGCATTTGTGGGATAATATGGGTAAATGACTAAGAAATCATGATCCCTTGCCTGCCTCCCTTGATGACGTAGCAAATATGCTACGAGAAATATGAAATGTCATTGATCAAGACGAGATTAGACATCTGGTTTCGAGTGTGAGCCGTCGATGTGAAGCCATAATTAGAAGTAGAGGCAGAAATACGCGATATTAATATTCTTTATTATAATGTTGGTTTTATTGATTTTGTTAATATTTTTGTTGTTATTGTTACAATCGTTCTTTTTACATTTTTGTATTAAACTGGAGTTCTTTAATCTTTAACTGTATATTTCATTTAAAAATCAAGATAACGCGGTGAATCAAAACACAAAATGTTAAGAGAAGATGTGGCTATAGTTTGATTATAAGATACATATGCTATTATAGCTGGTACAATCCACAGGGCGTTTTAAATTTCCGGGAAAAAACTTATTATCACTCTTGCACCCTGTATATACTCAAAATGTTAATTTAAAAAAAAAATTTAAACGCATTATTACCAAAGAATAAACCTACAATTTATTATAAAAATCACTAAATTCGGTTTGACGGTTCGCGAGAAAATCAACTTTGAAAATGTGACAAACTTTTAGTGGTGCGTTAAATTTGACGCGAAGTGTAGTTAATTAACATATTATTTTTTTTCTCATATTTAACGATGGGGGCGAGTGTTTTTGTGAATGAATAATTGCTTGTAGACCTATTAACAATGTTTTTACAGATTTTGAAACAAAAAAAAAATTGAATGAAATATTTGTTAACTAAGCTATATTTGCTAATTAATATATATTTTTTAAATATTATGAAAATTTTTTTGAAATCGGGACAACATTATTTATTAGAATAATCATTATGAGTCCACCAAAAAAAAATTCAACCATTTTCATTTCAATTTGTATGATATATGCCTACTTGTTTATAGCAATGCATTTGAGATGCGTGATTTTTCTAAATTAAACAATTGCGTTGAGCGACCTCTAAATTTTAATTGATTTCTCTAAAATTTTTACAGATTTTTATTTTCTTGATACTCTTTGAAAACCCGAGTGGTCTCGCATAGAATTCAAAAAAAAATTTTTTTTGCATCACCCTAATGTATAGGGGTTAACAATCTATTTATTTGGAAAGTGAACTTTTTTACCAAGAAATTATATATTTTGAAGGTTTCCACTTCAACTTCAACTTCGACCTTGACTACGACCACGACAGTTGGCACGTCTGCGCAGCCGCCCACCTCGATCCAGACCACGCAAACAAGCGTGGCAACCATGGAAACAGCCGAGGCGCAAACGAACACGAGCGAAACGACGTCGGCGGAAAGCCAGACCGGCGATGCTCGGCATCCTTCGGGCGCTTCCGATGCGTAGACAACTGGAATAACCTTTTTTGTTGCTTCTTTTTAGAGTACCTCTATTGTATATACGATATAATGTTATTATTAATTTCGATAGGTGGATGTAGATGTAATTATTAACCGATTAAATGAATGAATAAATAAATATTAATTGTAAACGGTAGTTTTTTGTCCCATACTTTTCTATTTCAGAGAATTTGACAGGGTAACAACATATATGTTTTTTTAACTAAAAAAGAAAAAGAGTTTTGTTTAAACTAAAAATAATAATAATAGTAAAAATTATATTAATAGTAATAAATAAGATTACAATAAAAATAAGGGAAATCAAAATAGTTATTTTTGTTAGTAGTACCTAAAACGAAGTTTTTCAGGACGAATCAGGACGAGGCGTTCGCCGAGTTCGGAATAGCAGATGAGTCCTAAAAAACTTATTTAGGTACGTTTTACAAACACTATTTTTTGTCATACACTTTTTGCAACTTTTCAGAACGCTTGAACTTGCAAATTTTCCATAATTTTTAAATCTAGAAAAAGTTGGCTTAGAAATAATTGATATCGTAGCAACAAGATTTGATAATTTTGTAATGTCATTCGAAATTTGTTAGAAATTCACATAAATTTTAAAATGTTCCAAAATCCCAAATATATTGCTAATAAGGCCCAAGAAATCGTGTTGGATTTACTTCCTGTGAACTTTAGTGTGAAGTCTCGTGCCATTTACCATAAAGAATATGATGCTTTTATTGAATGGAAACACAAAAATGGCGTACTCGTTGTAAATGAAGATGTATAACTAAATTATTTACACGAAAAAGTAAGTAGGTAAACATTTAAAAACCTAAATACTTAGTTACGCAACATGTATTTTGAGGCTTTTAAATTAAAATACTCTCTTAAATTACATTTACAAACGTTCAAACCGTCGCGTCGACAGTTTGGTCAAAAGTTAAAAAAAAAATTTATATCGATTAATTTCCAAGAGTTCTTGCTTTTTTGAAGAGGAATTCGGTTGGTTACGAGCCTAAAAAGTCCAAGGCTACGGCTAGTGATGAAACTTATTTACCTACTAAGGTTAGTTTGCTGTGATGAATTTAGACATTCTAAGGAATTTTGGAATAGTTCGTAAAGCTTGCCATGACGACTTTTAGGGACTAGGCCGAAAAAGAAGCATTTCACGGACTTAAATTTTTGGGAGCGTATATTTTTTTTCAATAAGAAGATCGGTAAGCGTGTCAGCCAAAACATGTAGAGTTGTAAAATTGAATGTCAGGGTCATATTCGACGTGTTAATCGGTTTTTACTAGATCAGGTTAAACAAACTACGCATACAAATTCATTAAAGCCTAAATTATAGATTGCCTTCCTTCCTTCCTCCCGTAGTCGTGCCCGTACGATTTGTGCGTCTTGTAAAAAGTCAATTTATAGATTTCCGTGTAAAATTCCGTAACCATGCGCGATGACACCTAAAATGGTTGACATTTATTTTTGTTTATATTTTGCGTTTTACCCATTGTGTGTAAATATGAAAGATAATCATTTAAATATTAGTGCAGTGATCACAATTTTAATTGCCCTGGCAGCTGGTTGTATACTGCCCAACTATGGAGAAAGGCAGTAACTGCTAAACAAGAAATTTGTGGGAAATTAGCATAAACTACATTTTTATAAAAAGCAGTAGGTATTTAACTGATTTATTTAACTTAAAAGATAGTTTACTGCATTTCTTTGTTGAATTACGATACAAAATGTCCATAGCTTTATCATAGCACAAGAAAACGCATTTGTAGTTACTGCCTTTTTCCATAGTAGGGCAGTATAATGAAAAAAATATAAAACAAGACGTTGGAAGACTTGCCCACTTTACCAAGACCGGGAAACTATGGGGTTTTACAAAGCAACGTTTCTAAAAATGAAAGACATTGATCATAAACAATATCTAAATATCCTATTTAGAGACACAAACTATTTAATAAACTAAAGAATCATGTATTTTAAATATTTTGTAATTACGCGCTGTCACCCTACAGCGCATGTCAATAACAAGCACTGTGATTGGTAATGTCAAAGACCTTTACGGTGAAAGATAAAACTTAAAAATTTCTACGGGAGGAAGGAATGCCGTACTCACGGTACGGGAATCTATAACTGGCACTACGATTTAAATAAACATTTTTGACGTAATTGTCACATTGCCCGTTATTAATTTTAATTAAATCTAAGAATTATTGATACTTTAAAATATTAAAATAACTTCAAAATATGATTTTGTTAAGAAAATATTTTATTCTTTGATTTTTTTTATTAACATAATTGCAAAATATTATCACAAAGTGTTAAAAATTCCTACACGGGAAATGTTAATGGCGAGAATTACGTAATGTTCATCTTCTACGGGAGGAAGGAAGGAAGGAAGGCAATCTATGTATAAGTCAGGCTTAAGAAACGAAATAATTAAAAAATTACACATAAAAATTAGTAAAGTAGGTATCTTTATTCTGTAGAATTTTGTACAACCCTTCGTACATGTCATGTATATCTAAATAGGGTGAATTACGTTCGGGTTAAGTATAAATAATGTAACCTAAGATGTTCATTCGTGTGTTTAGAGCAGTGTTTAAATAAGGATAAGACCGTCGCGAGGCTAATTTACGAATTGCGTGCGGGAAAGAGCCGTTTTCTGCTCTTCTCTCGCTCTCCTTCTCGCCTGTTGCCTTAAGGCAAGGATACACAACGCGGGGTGAACGCGTACAGGGAATAACTGCCAAAAGAGCACAGTTTCCGACCCGACCAGTGGACCAGTTTTTGCGATGTTAAGGTCCTTTGAAATACGCTCAAAACTCACTTGGGCCTCTTTCCTCTATTAATAAGATTTCTTGGTGTTTTTAGTACTGCATCCCGACAACTTTCGTATTGGCCCGTGCCCCAGGCGTTGTTCCAAGGAACAAGTTTTTAGAATTGTGCTAATTATTTTCTTTTAAAAAAATCAGTTAACTGTGCCAAGAATGTTGCGATTTTAATATTAAGGCCTATAACAAATTAACCAAAACTCGCACCATTATTAAATTATATGTTTATAATTTGCAGATGTTAATCTATGATTTAAGCCATTTTTTTAACAGACATAAGTAAAAAAAATGTACCCTAGGTTTTAACGCTCCAAAAATCAAATTTTAAATTAAAAAAAGCTTAAAATTTGCTAAAAAATCATTTAAATTCTTTTACAATTTTTTTAAGTGTAGCCGCCTTTAAAATACACAACTCACGATTTTACATTACATAATATAGGGTGGCCCAAAAGAATCGACTATTTTTTTCTCCTATGAAAATATGTTAATTTATCATGTTTTATTTATTTATTTCAATTAGTCTTACCAAAAATCAGCTCAATAAAAAAAGTGGGGTCGCCGGTCTAATTATTTCGGGGTTTATGGGTCAAAATTTCTCAAATGGGTCACTTTAAAACCGAAGTAGGATTTATTTTGTTTTTTTGTTTGTAGTTGTAGATTCGCTATTCGCAAAAAACACCATAAAATTAAAACAAAAATTGAAAATGTTACAAACAATTTGAAGTTTTGAGCATTAATCTTTTTAAATCTAAATATTTCATGAACGGTTTGTCGAAACTTGTGTGATACGTCAAAATTTGTATTAAAGAGAAACAAAATTTTAACTATGGAAAAATTGTTTGACATATTTTGATGCAAAAAAGTATTACGAGACTTTCTGTAAAAGAAAAAAATGATATTCTTAATGACAACAGAAGTTATGAACATTTTTGTCTGCCGCTGCAGCGCTGTTATGACTAGACTTATGTCTTCGTTAATTTCTGTAATGTATTTTAATCATAAAATTGCATAATAATGGAAAACAAATCATAATGATAAATTAATCTATATAAAAAATAGTATATTTTTTACGAGCGTGGAATCATAGCAATCAATTATTCCCGATGATGAAAGTTTCCGATAGGCGAGTGAAGGAATTCATTGAGGGAGTAATTGCGATTCCACGCGAGTCAAACACTATACTTTTTTGTCGAGTGGTGCTAATTATTAATTAATTTTTATAAAATTAAAAAAGTAACGTTTAATTAAAAAATGACGTTTACATTCCTAAAATCGTTCCAATTAACTTAGTAAGCTTACCTACTTTAAGTTATTTAAGATAAACTTTATAAATGCTCACTTTGCATAAAAATACACAATTTGGTTACCCGGAAAAAATGAGTAAAATTATATAAATCTTACGTTTAATTCCGACGTTTACATTCAAAGTCAATCACACTGTAGCGTCGTCATAGTAGCGGGAGGGAATGGAATATTTCTTACCTGATTAGCGGGAGGGAATGAAAATATATACAGGGGAAGGAATAAGATTGTTCACAGCGGGAAAAATGAATGTCATTAATTATTAACCAGGCCGCAAAGTAGTTATTTCAGGTATATTCTCTCCTAGAATATTCCGAAAAATATTCCAGAAATATTAAAATGTCTGCTCCGTGGAAGTTCCTTGGCATGTTTACAGGAACATTCCTTAATTAATTTAATATTCCTTAATTTAATGAATATTTCACGGCATCTCCTTTAAATATTCCTCAAATTAATTTTAAATTATTTTATAATTATTTCAAAGCCTTTATCAGGAATATTCCTGATAATAGTTCTAGAATGAAAAAAATAGACCGAAATTGATTAAAAAATGTATTTAGATACAGAGATCTCACTCTAAATTTGTATGATTTAGTCGGGTTGAATTTGTTCCTCGATTTGGCTGGTACTAGCAGTTTTGTACACTTTCTAAGAATGTGTAATTAGTTGTATTGAAATAAAAATAAAAAATATACTTATATAGGCAGCAAGGGCGTCGCCAGCCGGTAAGCTACGGGGGGCAGCATATAAGAACAAGAGAAAAATTATGAAAAAAAAGTTTTCTTAAAAAAAAATAAAAAACGAACAAAATAACTACACACTTTGTTGACGAAATCGTCCAAGTTTTTGAAAATGTGTTGCCTGTGTTCACTTATCATTGCGAGGTCATTGAGTCGAGTTTCAAACATGGTGCTCCTCAACCAGGTTTTGATTCTCCTAAGGCTACTGAATGGCCTTTCAACTGTACCAGTCGTACAAGGTAAAGCAACAAGGATCTTTAAAGCCTT